AACAAGAATATAACTGTTCAAGTACTTGCACACAAATGGTGGGACAGCCAGTATGTGTAGTGTGGTTCGGATGCATTCAGACCACACTTTGTGTGAACCCCTCAACTCAACCAAACAGACACTGGCTGCAGGAGGAGGACACATCAATGATGTATTATGGTTCCATATAGTGTGTGCTCACCTCAACTCTACTGAACAGACTCAGGCTGCAGGAGAAAGGCACATTAGTTTTGGATAATGTTTTCTGTAAATTGTGTGCACACTTCAACTTAATTGAACAGGCTTGACTGAAGGAGGAGGGCACAAGTGGTACGAGTTATGGTTGAGAGGAGTGACCTGCACTACACTGTCAGTGCCACCATTGCCACACTTCTCATCTAAGCCCAACTGGTGAGGATTCTCCATGGTCTACCACCCCAGCAACTATGAACTGATAAATTGCAAGGGTCTCCTATGCTCACTTGACAAAGGGGGCAGAGTATTCCAGAAAAGTGTCCAGATCCCCACTGGACCTCTAGCCAGAAATGTATTTTACTAGACAGTTAAATGGGTGATGCAAAACTGTATTTTTAAAATCCAGCAAAGTTGCCAGATCACTTTGCAGGTGCTGGCTCTTTCCATGATAGTCCATGCAGTAGGTACAGTGTGGATCAGAACACCCCACTTCCTAGTGGGCACTGGCAGAACCAGGACAGATGGTATCAGCATTCTCTATTGTCCCAGCTCGATGAAGATTTTGGGTAATTATACCCTGGAGGGCAACACCAGTGACCTGGTGGGGTCCTATGAAATCAAAAAGGGGCTATGAAAAGAAACTGTAAGTATTCTTCTCAAAAATAGTGGGGTGATGGAAGAATGGTGACAGATGGAAGCCAAAATACAGCAGGAGATGAAAAAGCCAGATGATGTAGATAAGGAGAGACAAATGTATTAAGAGTCATCCACATTCTTACATAGATAATATTGGTGGCTAAGAAAATAGATAGCCAGAGCCAAAGGATGAGGAACTGTGGACCAGAAGTGAGGAAGCCCAGAGTAGAGAAGGGTGTCAAAGGCATCCAAGATGGGTATGCCAAACTAAGAGCAAACCCCATGAAAAACCTGGGGGTGTAGAGACCACTTTGTTGGTAAAAAGTGGACATGCCTGAGAGAAGCAGCTAGCCATCAAGATCTAAGCTCCCAGCAAGTGAGATGCAATAAAGAAAACCCAATGTGAATTAGCTCAGAAGTGCATGTCCAAAAGCAAGGGGTCCTGGAATGGGTGCCTCTTGGATGGTTGATGCAAGAGAATTGACTGAGTGGAACGTGACCAAGAGATCCATCAATAGAGGCAGAAATGGGAACATGCTCTATGAACAGTGAGAAGGTCAAGCATGAGGATGTAGAATGAATGCTTGTCCCACATTCAAATGCCAGAAGTCCTGTCCTCATCTACAGATGTGCCTCAATCAGAGAGAGAAGCATATGTGAAGAGAGATCCAGTTTGTGAGGCAAGGGAATGACAGAAATAGTATGGGCACAGTACAATCACCAAAACAATTCTCCAAGGAGAGTTCACAAACAAGGAAAATGGAACCCAAAAAGAAACCCTTGGATCTACATGGACCACTGTAGGAGGTACAATACCAAATATAAACTGGGTGTGAGAAAGGACTGATATCTCAGGATAATTCTGCCCACCCCTAACCTCCTGTCTGTAAAGGAAGATGTGAGAACAGGAAACCATCTTAGAATGGGCAAAGGAATGCCAGTTCCAAGCTGTGAATAGTGAAGGCCTTCACAATACCAATGACTACAAATAGGGCCAATGTGACAACAAAGGGAAGAGCAAGGAGTGGGAAGACAGGAAAATAATGGACAGAAAGTAGAATACATATAAGGGATGGGTTGAGAGTGACATGTAGGAAGGTATCTGACCATGGCCAACCCCAGACCGAGTGAAAAAAACTATAGACGAGATGAAAAAGAGGAGAAAAAGAAATGGGAGGAGAAGCAAATGAGAGACCAAGATGGGGAAATGAAAAATGACTATCGGGAGAAAATGAGACCAACAGCAGGAGAAGAGATGAGTACCCACAGGGTCGTACATGTCAGATAGTCACCAACAAGAAGAACAATGAAATAGACTTCTGGTAGAAGGAGGACGAGAAAAATAGTAAGGCCTGGAACTTGGAATGAGAAGGTTAGGGGTAGACTGATCTAGATGAAGAACCGAGGTAAAAGCCAAGGTCAGGAAAGAAGAAAAGCCTAGGAAGATAAGGAGGACAAAAGTCATATAATGTCAGTCCAGGACACCAGTGAGAAATGAACAGTATGAAAGACAGTTGAGCAAAGAAAGGGAGCCCAATAAATACCATGTACACAAGGAGGAAAGAGTATGGTAAAAAAGGAACATAACCTGACCTAACAAGTCATAACAGCAGGGGAACAAAGTGATGATGGATAGAACCAAAGAAGTGGAACAAGCTAAGTTAGCAACTAGAATGGAACAAACATCTACAGAAAATCCACCAGAAGCATGATGAACTACCTTAGATAAAAAGTGGAGTTAGAAGAGGGAAAACAGGACAGTAGTAGAGAAAATGACAAAAATGTAAAATTGAGGAATCATAAAGCAAAACAGAAGTAAGGGACCCAATCCCCAATCTGACTAAATAGATACCAAGGACAGAGAATTGAAAAAACGAAAAGAAGAAAGTTTACAAATCAAGACAAAAAGAGTCACAAATGCAAGTGTAAATCCTAATAAGAAGCAAGGTGGAAAGACAAGGTACAGTACATCCCAAGGAATATGGAACATGGAGTAGAAAAATAAGTAATAATAAAGAACACAGGCAAATGATAAGGAAAGGAACAAATCTGATGATGAAATTCAGAAAGAGTTTGGAAGGTTAAGGTTGTCTTTCGAATGGTAAGGCACTACCCAAAGCAAATCAGATTAAAGTGGAAGTGCAACAGATCAAGAAATAAGTTAAGCCAACAGGATAAGAGTAGGAGGCCCAGTAAGCATGTGGTAATCTACAACACACTGAGCAATGACTGTAACATTCTCAACAGTGAATGAGCCTCCAGAGGCCACAGTAGAAATAAAATCTGTGTATGAACAATGCCACTCACACAGGACTAAGTACAAGTCACCATCATTTGAGAATTTATGATAAACAAATTAAAGCTTTTAAAATAAAAGCCAAAGAATATGAAAATCAAAGTTTTGTTAACAATGCAAATCTCAAGAAATTGAACTCAGACATATAAATTTAAAACATCTCTTATTCAATACAATGCCAAGGAGAAGAATGAAGTTTTTAAAATAAAAGCCAAAGAATATGAAAATCAAAGTTTTGTTAACAATGCAAATCTCAAAAAATTGAACTCAGACATAAAAATGTAAAACATCTCTTATTCAATACAATGCCAAGGAGAAGAATGAAGTTACCATAAGTGTAAATGCAAAGAGGAAGTTATTGCACATGGAAGTTATGTTGCCCTCCAACTAGTGAAGGGCTTTTGTCACACAATGATGTCATTATGCATTAGGTGGGAGTTGCCTCGAGGCTAGTGACATGCAAATCTCTTAGGCAAACGCACAAGGAAGATACCTAATCTGTGTAAGGAAGCGAGTTATCTTCTCAGAGTTAATTTTATTTACTTTATAAGCGTTGTCAACAAATGATAACATTAACTTTATGTTGTCTTCATACATTAGTGTGTTCATTCAACAAAAATGAAACAGTTACCCACTAAATATTGTTTTTTAAACCTAGCATTTTACAAGTAAACATAAATATTCACTTAGACACAGAGAAATAAAATATCACCTCAACAACTGTTGTGATGTATTGTGAAGTTAGGTAATCTGAAACAGAAGATGGTAACAATACAAGTGATGCTAATTAAAACATTATGTATACTACTGTTTTACACTGATGAATACTTATAATAAAACGCTAATATGGTATTAGATAAACATGCATGAGAGTAAATCAATAATGTATGAACATCCAAGGTACATTCTCACTCAATTTCAAGATGAATGCTGATAAAAATTAAGTAATTTAAAGTATTCCTCAACTGGAAAAGAAATTACAACTAACTTACTTTGGAGAGTAATCTAAGCCAACTTCTCCCAAGGCAACTACTTTGTCATGTTGTAGAGCATCAATCAGGTGCATTTCAATTTCAGGATTATACTGTTCTGCCATGTGAGGATGGCATCCAAATGTGGCCCATATTTTATCCTCTTCTAAAAGATCTTTCCATAATATTGGCTGTAAGTGAATGATAAGCTGAGATATAGTTGTAGACTGAATTTCTTATGGACTTCTCCTGTTATTTATCTTGATTTTACAATGACAACTGTTTAATTCAACACAGAGTGAATATACAAATAACTCAGAAAACATCTAATAAGTTTTTACATCATTGCTGCATGGTGTAATTCATAATGTTTCTTCTGGATGTATTATTTATAATAGTATACCATGTTTGAACCACATTGTTGCCAAATCTCTTAGCATTTATACATATCCATAACAATGTATATGATATAAATCTATCACAACTGATAAAACTATTCGAAAAAAACATCAACTAATTTTTAAGACCTGAAAAGACTGCAACACAGACACACTTTATGATATTTATAATAGTTTAATTAATAGTTTAATTTGTGTTTCTATACATATTAAAAATAAAATGACTTACATGGTAATACTCAGCCAAAGTCTACATACACAAGTTTAAGTGAAATGAACTTGAAATATTGACATATATTTAAACTTTTTTTTGTAAGACACGTATTTAAACTTCTTTTTTGTGGGTGAGATAGCCACTTACAATGGTAACTTCAAATAAAGCCATTTAATGCTCATGCACCATTAAAAAACCTGCTGGGGATTAAATTCACTATGTTCTTTTATCTCTCACAATGTAATTTACTTGACATTTTTTATTACTCAACAATTTAATCAAGAAAACAGAAAATCTTAAGCCTAAATGGTCATTTACCAATAAGAAAGATAAATTCACATTTTCTGGTCTGCTAGCAACAAATCTTATGGTTTACATACTTTACCACTAGAAATTGGTACAAACTCTACAAGTTGCATACTTTATCATTTGAAGTTGGTAGAAATAAAAGAATATATTTCTAAAGTTTATTCAGTTTTAGCAACTGACTTTCATAGGTTTTATTCTGAAAAATTGCAAATATTCATAAGATACAATGATATAATTTAGTTTTTCTAAGTTCATTAATAAACATTTTAAGGTACATTAGTTAAAAAAGGAGATGCGAGAACAGGATATAGAAAAACATTATTATTCTGAGTTGATATACTGACTAAGTTTCCAAACTTCTAAGTAATATATTTCTGCTAGATACTTGTTCTAGTAACTATTTTACAAACTGTGAAAATTGGAATACTATTTTAAGTACATCTGGGAATGATTTTAAAAAAGCAAATTGTGGTATATACCAAATCTTGGGTAAAACTTTAAAGTTTAAATGAAATAGTCTTTTAAGTTTAATATTTGTTTTTATTCTACAGTAATTTTTAAAAAAAGTTCTCTTTAGTTGCATTATTCTTTTTCGTTAGAAATTAAGTATTTTTTTGCTAGTACATTGATCAACCAACTCTTCTGGGTAAAATGTAATTAATATTGGTAAATAAAAAAGAATTAATAATATGAAAGAAAAACTTGTCAAATGTGATATACTTACCAAACCAAAGGTACTTGGATCACAAAAGTCTGTGATGCAGCCACCGTAGCAAACTGGATATGTGTCTTTATTGACTAATTGGTACTGAGAGTAAGTTCCTTTAAAACCAATACGTCGAAACAAGAAATCCAAATGACAATGAGTATCTATGATGTCTACTCCTGGCTCGAAGGACATCAGTCCATTAATATTGTACTGAGGTAACTTAAACCGTGAAGTCAATTTTCTAGAGATTGTAGAAGTAGATGGAGAAGTTACAGAAGCAAGATATGGACTTATATCAGCTAAAGATGTACTTTTGTCTCTCACACTTCCCCAACTGAGGTGACGTTGCAGATTTTTATTAGTGCACGGAGGTGTTACACGAGGTGACTTGAAGGGCCATTTGTCAACCTGACTGTATGCATTCACTTCAAGAGATCTGTTACATGATGCAGCAAGAGAAACATCAAATGAGAATGAAAGATCTTTTACTCGTTCCACTTCTATGTTGTCACTGTTTGAATTTCTATCCCTTTTTTGGTGTAACCAGGGAGGTGATGATGAAAATTCTCTTTGGTTATCTACATTACTTGTTGATGAACCTAAAGGTGATTCAGGATAAGTGATTTTCAAAAGCTGACGAGAATACACACTTCCTTCAGTCCACTGTGGTGTGAAATGGTGAATGTTTTCAGAATGATTAGAGTTGTGTTTTCCATGAGAATCCTTATCAACTGCATTATCTTTTATATTGCATGACAAATAAGATCCATTATAAGGTCTTGAAATAAAATCACCATCATCATCTTTAATTTCTCCTTCTTCTTCAGAGCTGTCAAATTCTAATTTTACATTTGTCTTCCCTTTATGATACTGAATAAGATCTAATTCACTGTTTAACTGTTGGTGAATGTTCGGAGTTGAAGGAGGTACCTGTATAATCTGCTTACAGTTCTCTGAAGGTTCTTCAATACTTTTTGGTTGAAGAAGACTACCACCTTTTTCACCAGTGTTGTTTATGTTCAACACAGGACTGCAAGTACCTACTTTCTGAGTGGTACTTAAAATTCTGAAAACATCTCTTATGAGAAGAGGTGATTGAGAGAGCGTTGCAATATGATCCAAATCATCTTCTGAGTCATCAATATTTTCCACCAAAGTTTTATCACAGTCCTCATCTTTTGCATCAATTTCCTCAAAAGAATATGAAAAATTTTGATTAGAATCAAAGGTGATGTCCTCTTGTGAACATACCAAGACAGAAAAACTATCAGAAGAACTGTCAACCGATAAATCTGGACTTCCCGGAATAGTATGTGCTGCTTTTTCATGTCCTTTTTGTGTAGATGAATGTTCTAATGAAAATGTTTTTTCCTTTTGATTACTCCTATAAAAATTAAATGATTTTGCTCTATGATGTAAAGATTTTAGAAACTTATTCTCTGGTAAAAAACTGCTGTGATCCTCTGAATCTGTGCATAAATTTTTCTTGTCTGAAGTGTGACAGCTTGATAATGCTTTGCTATCTTGACAGTGGTCAGTAGAATGTTTTCCAAAAATATGTTGGATAAAAGATTTTTTCACCTCTATTTTTGTATCAGCCTCCTGTGAAAGAGGAAAAGAAAAACAGGTGCTTCAATACATAAATAGGAAAACTTATACATTTAAATACAACATTCTTGCAACACAACAGTTTACAGACAGACATGCTATAAATTAATAGGTCTAAAAGTTATAACTAATTACACTGCACTTAACATTTCCTTTGTTTCTTCCATAAAAGTCAAGGTAAAAACAAACTCAAAAATATGTCAGCACAATATTATACATCTCTTAAGAACTCTACCTATCAAAAATTTATAAGTGAAAGCAAAGAAGAATATGTAACAAAATGTTAACTACATTATATCTGCCATATCAAGTTCCAACAAGACCTTTAGCCCAATACCAGGGTTCACCAGGTCAGCTGAGATACAACAAACAGTGTAGTGGTTAAAGCACTATTTATACTATCAATTGCATGAAAAACAACTTTTATGGTATGAAATACATTTAGTGAATTGTAATTATTACAATTTTAAGTCATCTACAAATCAGAATTATCTATTGTAAGGAGTAATAACACAATATTATCATTTTTTTACACAACCTTATTTATTTTTGTTTTTACTTCAGTTAACTTTATTATCATTCAAAAGAACTTGGGGAACCAGCAAGCTAGTTTTCTTGTTCTTGGTGGAAAACATTGAGCAACCACAACATTGTGAGTAAAGGCAAAAAAATAAAAGATTATGTAATGCCATGTGAACCATACTATGTCTGCCATATTCAGTACTAACAAGGTCTTTCACCCAGTGTCAAGGCTCATCAGGCCAGCTGGAAAACCACAGACATAGTAGTGGTCAAGGTGCTACTTATATCACAAACTGTATGAGCAGTAATTGTTATGGTTTGAACTAGATTAAGTAAGTGAATTGTAATTATTATTTTTTATATTGTTACGTCTCCGTTTGTTAATTGATTTTTCCGTAAATTCGTTCCAACGAAACTTTAACGACACAAGTCTTTAGTTAATAAAACTGGTTTATTCTTTCCGAATATAACTCTGCGATACACTTAA